TACTATATTGGCGCGATTTGAAAGATATAAACGTATATGTAGACTTCGCCATTTAATGTAAACAAATCTCGCGTTTAATCTTCGTAGAGTATAATGTAAATATAAATTAATTACGTGTTAAAATACTATTTTTTGCTGTACTGCTCAACAACTAGAAAGTTGAAATTATTGCGAATATGAAGCAGTGTTTACTTCAAAATGTAAAATATAATACTTATGAAATTCTGCACATTCCTTTGGAACTGTACAAATTTTCGTTCAGAAAAGACGAAATTTAGGATATATTAGTTGAAAATTTATTCATTATACTTTTAAGCATAAAAAACAATTCAGTTTACCATACGTTCCATTCGTACATAATAAAAACACCGAGGAATATAACAAGTGCTTGCAATAACACTGAAGAAATTTTAAATTCTTAATGCTAGTATTAATTGTTTGAAAGAGAAATAAAAGCGCGAAATACGCTACAAATTAGCGAGATACTCCAGTTTACAATTACTGATTATAACATGTAACAAATTACATTTAAATAACGAATTATTACACATATGTTAACAAATATAAATGCACTGTTATTGAAAATTAAATGAAACGTATATTAGAAAAATAAGCAGTGCAATCGGCATGGACGTTAAAATAACTAATAAGCAAAGTTTCACAACATTGCAATTTTAAACATCACTCGAACACACTCGACAGCCATGGAGATCACGAGTAAGCTAACGTAGGGTTGCTTAGTCGCCAATATTTCGCCCCGCGCCAAAAGTACACCATCAAGCATGCGCAGTAAGCGAAATTCGCTTAACCCTGTTCAACTGAATGTGCGGTCTGCCATTACGCCTCCGGGATTCGAATACGGTCCTTCGGGACGGCAGTCAGCGAAGCTAACCACTATACCGACTGTCCAGACTTTAGTTCATATAAATACACGTTTTGAGTGCTTGAAACAAACGCTCACATTTATTCTTCTTGCCAAGTAAAAACAAGCCTTACTATTCTGTGATAAAATTGCCTGATGTTCGGCGGTTATTTAGCTTGATAATTGCAGACTCCAGGCATTATCCGCGATTCAATTCACCTATAGGTGGCGCTTTTACACATAAATGTGGCGGATAAAAACCGGTATTTTGATTTGTGATCTGCCCTTACCAGGACTATTACCATTATGAGAAAAATAAGTGTTCATAATTCTACACGGCAGATAAATTTTAAAAAATATGTTTTTAGACGTTTTCTACCCTAGTAGATGGAAAGGGACTCTCGGCCATCACATGACATGGTCAACTACTGAACTTTATTCTCCATGTAAATATTGTATATATTTTTTTCATATTTAATCAAGAGTCTCAATTATCGGTACTCTCATCTGGAACTTTCCCCCCCTACTTGAAATTATTTTTGTATCTTATTAATGTTTGTGAACTCTTCTAATATTTGAATTATTTATTACACCACCCCACGATGTAAAATTCTGCAGTGGCAAAGTGCCACCTTTCCCTTTATTTTTAGTCCAAAGGGATTTGAATCCCGAAGGACTATTAGTTTCGTTTTGGCATTTTGCGTCGGACTCATAAATGTCGGTTCACTTTTCAAACTGTTGCCACAAAATGGTTAGAGTCCTGCATATATTTTGAAGAAATTAATAATGAAAAATCTGCATAAATGTATGCATATTTCTCGTATTGTGATAAAACAACGGTACATAGAGTCATCGAATTTTGAATAACGTAATCCTCCAACGAATATGAGCATGTGGAAGACCCAAATTTGAAATTTGGAAATTTTTTTTATGATCGATTTCCTATTTTTTTAAAACTTTGACGAATTTTTTGATTAACAAACTCAAGGATTTCAAAGCGAGCAATGGCAACGTTGTGCAGAAAAAACATTTTTATCTCCAGCGCGTGAGTCTCTGTATCGGAAATTCTAAAGATATGCTCGTTTTAAACTATTTTGCGATATTGCTGTTTGCACTGGATCTTATGGTTTAAGTGCGAGGAACATGATATTTAATAAAGAAAGGTAACACACAAAATGTTAAAAAACGCCCCTTTGGACGTAATTTAAAATCTGAAACATTTCAGATTTTTTTTTTTTTTTTCCTCATCTTGTTTCTGTGACACCTTTTACTGATGTTCTTACTTCCAGGATGCCATATTAGAAGACAACTGGCAAAAAGCCTGCAAATTCACGCAGGTTAGGCCCAGTATAATAGCGGTAAATGGAATGGAATGTGATTTAACTTCGTACATTCAAAAATGGAGTTGCTGAGCTTTTCTGAAATGTTTGATTTTGTTCAAGGAGGCGTAAATTCTCGCTGTGTTACTGAAGCACAGCGAATTTTAAAAAGCGGATTATTTGGTAGTGCACGGAATTTTATTTGAAAAATCCCTTTTACAAATTTTGGCTTCCTATTTAAGGACAAGTTGTATAGCGTCCTGATCGCATGAAATCGAAGGACATTTCATTGTTAAAATGGAGAAGTAAATTAGATTATTATTATTTTTTTTTAATTTTCGGTCATGTAAGGAGGAACTGCTGGCTGTTGTAGGAAATTGTGTCCTGTTGTATTTATTGCGACAGTAGCTGATAACGTTACTGATTGTAACAAATGATTTCATTGTGTTTAACGTAGGATTAAGAAAATCTGTTCACTCAAAAGTGTCATGAATACTAAATATTACTAAAAATATATTGATTTCTTATTTCGTCTATTGTATTTATATCTATTATAATACATAATAGCCTAATTATAGATGCAATTTTGAGAATACAGCAAGCAAAGCACTTAAAAATGAAAAACACTTGTAATCGAAATATTATATTCTATATGTATTATAGAAAATCCATGCAAAGAATAATACCATGAAAACCAAAAAAAAAAAAAAAAAAAAAAAAAAAAAAAGAGCAGATAAAGTATTACCTACCACTCAATACCTGAGAAATCCTGGCATATAACATGTAGTTAACGTTTGATTACGTGATATTACAAGCATTTTCTTTAAGATTTGTCGTACAAGTGGTTAAAACGACTGAACACATAATGCCCACGACAATAAAAAATAAACGTTTAATTACTTTTCGGTCACAACACGCTTCACAAACTACGTAGTATTGTCAAACGTAAATATCGATTTTTAATGTTTCCTCCTTTTAGCCACTAGATGGCGTATCAGAGCGCTGGAATCGCGGATCCTGATTATCTGCTTCAAATTCTAGTCATTTCAAACATAATATAATTCAAAGTGGTTTCTACTTACGCTTTTCTCTATTTTACCAAACATAACTATTTTTGAGTGTGTTGTATTTGTGTCCAGGCACAATTACAACACACTCAAAACCAGCGAATCTGGTAGGCACAATTCTCTGGGTTTCCTTAAGTACCAGATTCTTGTGGATGGTACTCAATGGAAGTAATAGTAGTCCATAAGGTACACTAGGAATGGTCCATGATCTGTCAAAAATTGTGTTAGGCTAGCGCGCTGTTATTTAAGGACACCAGCGATTTTGGTAGGCACAGTTCTCTGGGTTTCCTTAGATTCTTGTGGATGGTACTCAATGGAAATAATAATAGTCCATAAGGTACACTAGGAATGGTCCATGTTCTGTCAAGAATTGTGATAGGCTAGCACGGTGGGTCTTGATTTCCATGTTAACTTTTGGCAATAAGCGAAGTGTTCTTCGTCCTACCTCTCTTAGCCTGTGACCATCTATTTTGCCAATTTTATAACAAGTTGCCCTTTTAATGTGAAACCAAGGACATTTAGAAGGTTGTTCTAGCAATTCCGTGTTATCAGCTGCCTGCTTCGCCAGAAGGTCCACGGCGTCACCGCCTTGAATCCCTGTACTTAAGTCGTAGTATTAAAAAGCCACTTTTTAAATTGATATTAGATTAAATTTATTGCATTTACAATTAGAAAATAATTATAGTGAATCCTTTGTAGGCGACATCTCTAACATATCGCTTCCTGAAAGGGACCTGTATTGTTGAAAACAAACACTGAAAGTGAACCTGACGTTTCTAAGTCCACCACATCTACAGAGCAGTAAAATCCTCTAAAACCGTTGATAATTGGTTGATCTCATTGTACTTTTAATAAAGCACGTACATTAATCTTAACTATACCTTCGCTAAAAGAGAAGAGAAACTTGCCAAAGTGAAAAATAAAAATTAGCAAAGCGTTGCCCTCTAAATCAGTTGAGTTCTCGACTAAATCTACACCAAACACAAGGCTGCTGCTCCGCTAATTTTATGTGTGAATTTGTTACATTTTAATTTTCTTTCAAAGCAATGGTACCGTTATTCTTTTGTAGAGTCGTAGCTAGGGTTTTCGGCGCCCAGGGACAACTGAAGATTTTGCGCCCCCTATTGCTTCCCAAGGATGGAAAACATTTAATTCTAAAATGTCGTAACATCAGTTTGGCGCCCCTTGGAGTCTGCGCCCGGGGACAGATGCCCCCTCTTGCCCCCCTCTAGCTACGCCCCTGTTCTTTTGTTTAGAATTACATGAAATTTTAAAAACGGACGCTATATAACAAAAATGTTTCTAGATGAAGATACACACCTTTTGAACATGCCTGAAACTCTTTATTCTGCTCACAGTAATTTGTCTAAAGAAAATCTTTAATAATTATTAGGAATCAAAATCAAAGTCAGGTCAAAATAGTCAAATTCAGCTCGTCTAAGTTGTTTTGATTAACGAAAACAGGTGTTTAATTTATCGTAAAGTGACTTCTACTGTATGAAACGGGAAAAATTGTATCTCTTGGGAAAATCAGTGGACGAAAAGGCACTATTTCGAGCTGGAGATGAAACGACAGCATGCCGCTGAAAGCATCTGAAACTTACCGTTCGTAACCATGACACAAATAAACAGACATTTTCTTTAGAAAACTCAATTTTTATTCATTTAAAAATTTTTAATAAGATGACAATAAAAACTTCTATTTATTTACAAATGTATAAATAAGAATTTCATATGAAATAGTTTTAAAAACAACATATTTTTGGCACTGCACATTTTCACTGACAAGGAAGTTCATCAAAAGATTTAAAAACAAAAGTTAGAAAAGATAAAACAGATTTCAAAAAAAAAGATAAGTAAAAATAGATTGCTAACGCATCAAACATTGCCTTAAACTCTCTCTCTCTCCAGAATGAAATCCTATTTACAGATGAGTTCTCGAGTGTGACTTTTTTCCACATTTCAGACCCATCAGTGGCCAAATTAATAAAATCATTTATTGCTGTGAATTTGTCTCAAGTTGAGTTTCTGGTGAATAACTTAGCAACATAGTTTAATCATTTATTGGATGATAAGTGTTTATATTTAATAAAATTATAACGCGTATTAAACAGAAGTGATAACTGAAAATCATGAAAGAGATGCTGCTTTTCATGACTCGCAAAATCTACAGATGATGATTCAATCTGCTTGAGAAATTAAAAAAAAAAAAAAAAATTATGATAAATGCATGAAAAATCAAAAAAGGAATTACTTAATGATAAAGCGTGAGAAATCAAAAAAAAAAAAAAAAAAAATAAACTTAAATTATTCGATCATATTTACTGCGCAAGAGATAAATTAAGGGAAGCTTTGTTTTTAATCAGCAATTTCAAGCATTAAAATCAGCCATGTACAACTAACCAACACACCATACACAGCGGTATCCGCTTTAATGAATATAAACCGAAATATAATAGTTAATTTCACTCACATTCAGTGATAATTCTGATAAATGCAGAGAACTATCATAAAATATTCAGATAAAAAGACTACTCTCAATTACCAACAACTCATATCTAGAGAGAGCATGAATATAAAAAACAATAAAATAATAAAAAGTAGCATTTAGACTTCCTTTACCGTGATATGTTTTGCCGTTAATTTATATCATTTTCTCATTCACAATAATTTAAAAAAATTCATATTTGTAGACACCATTAGGAATTCGTGCAATTATTGCAGTTTTAAATAGCATTGTTTATCGCTACATAGTATTAGGGTTTGGCAATTTTATTCAGACTTATTTTTCAATTTATAGCTCTATAATAAAACCATTTACTAATAATATCCAGAAACATCATCACTATCGGTTAATCATGAAGTACAACTAGAGCAAGTTCGTTTCTTAGACAATTCATCTTGTAATTGCCTGATCAATGCATCTTTCGTATGACGCTCTTCTAAAAGAGCTCTATTTTGGGTTTCTTGAAATGCAATATGCTTCTGCATAGTAGTCAAATAAAATCTCAATTGATTATTTTCTTCGTGCAATTGTTTTGCCCTCAAAGTAATGGCGTCTTCTTTCTGTCGACGAGCGTCTCTGGATCTTTTGGCGGCTTCGTTATTTTTACGTCTGCGTTCCCAATAAGCGGCATCTTTCAATTCCTCTGGCATGGTCCGGCTTTTTCGTCGGTTCTGGCCGCCACTGGAGGTGTCCGGCTGTTGACAGTTGGAATAACTGTTCGAGAACGAACTATTAGAATCCCCCGAACCATGTGCATCCAGTTTCATATCTAAATCAGTGTTCATGCTAGTAGACCTTGCATTCATTGTACTGCCACGATTTTCTGTTTCTGGTGACTCGTTTTTTATGTCGGTGTTACTTGAAACTGAGGCAGAACGATTCCTTGAATGGTTGTAATGTGTTGGAGGAGACACAGTACTGGAGAAAGAATTTGATGAGCTCGGTGCCGGGTAATTACCGAGTAGAAGTTCGTCTGATAATGCTTTGAAAGGTCTTACGGTCCTAAGAGATTGTCTTTCTCCATTTGGCCCAAGTGTTGGTGACTGCTGTGAAAAATATCCATTTAAGTATGGTGGCATACTTTCTAAAACATTAACGCCTGCTAGAAGGGGAGGCAGAGATATTGGTATATATGGTCCCTGTATGAAAGAAGCCATTTTTGGGGTTATGGGCTGTACTGGGGACATTATTGAATTCTCACTTGTATTTCTAGTGTCCGATAAAGGTGACGATTTCCAATTCGAATTTTCCAAGATTAGTAGTTTCCTTTCTGTTAAAGAAGGGTCACTGTATGCCTCATTCGTACGAGATGAAACATGAAGAACTGCTTTACCTTCCGGAGGTCTGCCATCAACGCGCTGCGGCTCTTCTCGATTAGACGTGCTTTCGTGATTTGTCGGAGGAGATCTCGTTTGTAGGTGACAACCGTTTGAAACCGATGAACCTAGAATAAAACCATTTCCGTGATTTTCTGAGTCTTGCAAATGGCCTTTACCTGAATGATATTCGTAATGTCCATTTTGATGGGGGTAAGAAAGCAGCGAAGACTTGTGCACAGTTTCTTCTGTCGTACAATAGGTACTGGTATCAGACAAGGTAGATTTCTTAGAAAAATCAAGAGGACCATCTTGATTGGTTTCAGCAAAAGGTGAAGGACTTCTCCTTTCACTACTACTTTGATGGAAAAGTTTCTGTTTTTTGGGGTGAAAGCAATGGTGTTTCTCTGATCGTTCCATGGACATTTCGAATATATTATCTTTTCACCTGGAATGAAGAAAAAAAAAACGTGTAAGTAACAGTTAAATTTGCTGAGAAGAAATAAATAGCTAACACATGAAAAAAGAATTAGAAATTTTAATAATTTTTGCAATTATTTCAGCTGAATGAATTATTAACGAATGAACTACACACGTTTTTGGAACAATTTCTCTCTCATTGGCTAAATGTATAATTTCCACGTCATCAATCCACCATATCATCACTACACCAACTTCTATAGCAATGGCTGCTTTAAAAGCTGAAATGGAACTGCAAGCATACCGACGATTTTTTGGTCATTTTGCTTCTTTTAAAAATGTTAATCTGAAACGTACAGAATTATAATAAGCCAAATAATAATTTTGTTACTCAGAGGAATGTACTGGAAATGGCTTGCATAAAACAAAGTAATTCTGCCTATAATTTTTCAAATTTTCATCTGATATGAATAATAACTTAATGCAATTGGAATAATATCCAGTTGTCTTAAGTTGCTGCACTTCTTCTATCTATGGATATTTAAGCTAACAATTTCCATGCAGTTTGGAAAATTCATTATTTCGAGAAAAACGCCTTTAAATATCTGGCATGTGTATAGTTAAAAAACAGCAGCACTTTTACGCATCATGTCTAAACATGCCAAATATATAATACTGAATGCTTCAGAGCTCTCTTTAAAATATTACGTTCTTCGCACTTAAAATTCCCTTCAATAGCAATATCGCAAAATAGTTTTAAAATGAGCATATCTTCA